GTGAAAGACCACATATTACATGATTTCATTTATGTGAAATATCCAGAATAAGTAAATTTACGGAGACAGAAAATAGAGTAGTGGGTTCCTTGTGCTGGAGACATCAGGAGAAATGGAGAGTGACTAGTAATGAATACAGTTTCTTCATATATATATATATATATATATATATATATCTCCACAAAAGCTTTTACACTAATATTCATTGCAACATTAGTGTTTGTATATATATATATATATATATATATATATATATATATATAGAGAGAGAGAGAGAGAGAGAGAGAGAGAGAGAGCGTCTCACTCTATTTCCTATACTGGATTGCGATAGCACAATCATAGCTTACTGCAGCCTCAAACTCCTGGGCTCAAGTGATCCTCCCACCTCAGCCTCCAGAGTAGCTGGGACTACAGTCATGTACCACCACACCTGGATAAAATATTCTTTTTAATTTCTTAGCATTGGGGTCTCACTATGTTTTTCAGGGTGGTCTCAAACTCCCAGCCTCAAGCAATGCTTCCATGTCGGCCTCCCAGAGTGCTGAGATTGTAGGCTTGAGCCACTGTGCTGGGCTTGAGATGGTTTCTTTTGGGGGTGAAGAGTATGTTCTGGAATTAGATAGTGGTGATGTTTGCACAATTTTGCATTTATACTAACAAACACTAAATTGTATACTTTAAAAGGGTGGATTTTATGGTATGTGAATCATATGTTAATAAACCTTAAAAAAGAGGAAAAAGGAAAGAAAGAGAAAAGGGGAAGAGGAAAAATCACTGGATCCTAAACTGTTAGCAGTGAAATTACCCAGTAAGGGGCTGGTCATGGTGGCTCACACTTGTAATCTCGGCACTTTGGGAGGCCAAAGCGGGTGGATCGCTTGAGCTCAGGAGTTTGAGAGCAGCCTGGGCAATGTAGCGAAACCCCATCTATAAAATATATTTAATTATTTGGTAAATTCTTATATTTTTACGTGCATTGTCAAATGGGCCCAAATAAAATTAGTGGTAATTCAAAATCCCACCAAGATTTTGACTAATCATCAAAAAACTCCACCTACATAGGAACAAAGCTTTATTTGTATTTATACTCCCATAACCCATCCACCCAGAAACAATCATCATTGAAACCTTGGTGTAAACACTTCTGCACCTGTTCCTTTTCTCCTCTACTTCTACGTGTTTAAAATGTTTGAATGTATATATTTCAAACATAAGAACCATCATATTGTAGAAACTTCAGATCTTTTTTTCTCTCTTAATGTAGTCTATGGACACACTACAGATCAGAGTTATTTTAATTTGCAAAAAGGAGTGTTCCATTGTGTGGATTTACCATAACAATGAGAATTATGTAAGTGCACATATTTATACCTATATCTTTGGACACTTTTATGCTTATTTACAAAACATAAACTCTTAGCAGTGGAATTACTCAGTAAAATTTTATATGCTTTTGATATTTTTGTAGATGTTGTCAGATGAGCCCAAATAAAATTAGAACTAGTTTAAAATTGCCCCCCAAGAGTATTAGAGTACATTTTTCTCTGAACTGAGGCCAACAGACATAAACACTGAAAAATCCTGAAAGAGGCCTCTTAAGAGGAGAACTTCTCTGTTTTAGTGAATAAATCTGTTTTTTCTTACCTTCAGCCTCCGCCAACGTCAACTCCGCCAAACAAGAGAGGATTAAGAGGGCCAAAGGCATGAGCCTCCTTATAAGCTCCATCTTGGCAAGAGGCTGGCAGCCTTAAGGACTGGCGGCTTTTATAGGCTCTGTGTTTCATCAGCTTTCTGGACACCTCCAGGGAAATGTTGCTCCAGCCACACAAGGGGTAGATTTGTGTGAGAACAGAGCAGCTGTGCAACTAGTTTCTTATCAGCAGCCCCCACAGTGAGGGTTCCCTCTCCCCAACTCCTTCCTGGAAAGGTTGCCCCCAGTAGAGACTCTTTGTGGGGATCTCTAGCAGCTGGTTCCCAGAAGGCACTGCGTAGTTTTCCCTGAAACTGACGGGAGCTGTGCCTTGCTTCTGTGCCTGCATATCACAAACAGGTGGTCTCATTGACATCTGAAGTCTTCAGGGCTCTCCTTTGAGAAGGGAACCTGTGGGAGAACAACAGGCCAGTGGGGCAAGGCAGGGGGTACAGCACCTGGGAAAAATCTGGGTCCAGATGGCACATTCAGAAGCCCTGCCAGGTGGCTGACCCTATCGAGGAGGGAAAGAGGGTAGAGGATGAAGAGGGAAGAGTGCAGATCCAGATTTCCCTACAGGGATTTCTAGCCAGTTATGTCTGGAGAGGCTGAAGCAAGTGAATTAGTCACTTTGGTATGGTGTTTTGCAGCCGAGAGAAAGAAATCCCAGTGTCCACAGTGAGACTGGGAGGAGCAGGTGGTGGTGGGTGGGAGCTGCCCTCTTTTCATTCATTCATTCATTCATTCATTCACTCAATCAGTAAATATTACTTATTGGTCTAGGGCCTAAGCAATATAGATTTGAATGTGAGAGACAGTCCTGCCCTCATGAAACATGGATTCTAAGTGGAGAGTTAGACAACAAAAATAAATGAAGAATTCAAATAGTGACAGGAGCTATGGCTACAATAAACAGGATGACTGCATGGCTGGTGGTTGCTTGGGGTGGGGAGGATCTGACAGTGAGAAGGAGGGCATATTGAGAGATGAAATCTGAACAAAGGCAGAAAGATAAGAGGGAGGCATTCATGTGTGATCCTGGCTTAGGGGCTTGCATCTTAGGCGTAAGAGAGGCCAAGTGCAAAGGCCCTGAGGCAGGGACTAGATGGGCACACCTACAATAGTAGGGAAGAAAGAACAGCCTGGCCGGATGTGAGTAGGAGGTGTAAGCTGGGAGGGGAGGATGTAGAGGAGCAGGTGAAGGTCAGATAGGGAAGGACCCGCAGCGTAAATGAGGAGTCTGGGTTTTACTCTCTAAGTTCAGGTGGAATATTTTGAGTGAATAATGCCAAGACTGGCTACTTTTTGAAGAACCTTTGTGCAGCTCTGTGGTGTTCTGACACCGATGTAGGCTGTGTCTCCTAGGGTAAAACCCTCTGGCTACCGTCAGCCCCTCTGTTATCCTGGCTGCAGCCCAGGACACCTCCCTAGAGAGAGCACAGTCCTATGCTGTGACTCAGGAGATCCATTCCTTTTTGGGCCCACACCTGATGCTGCAGGGGAAAGGCAGCACCTGGGATGCCATGACTTGGTGCTTCCGGAGGAGCTTGGACCCTCCCCAAGGCTCTGCTCCATTCTTGTCTGCCCAGGCTGGCTGTGAATGAGGTGGGACTGGGTGTCCTGGGGTGAGTTAGCAGGGCACAGGTGTTTGAGGTGGGGCACCCTTCTGGTTACTGTTTGCAGCTGTGTCCACGAATCTCACCCTCACCCTGGGCTTTCCCTCTGATCCCTCTTCCTCTCCCATGGCTGGGATCTTCAACATCCCTGATTCCTCTCCACTGAGTGGGAGAGTTTCATGACCACACTCTGTCAGTGGCCCTGGTAAAGGACCCAGGCTTCCAGGTCCAGTCAGGAGAGAAGCCACCGTCAGGCATCTGGCAACTTCCTGGGAACCATGGGGTGTTGTGGGGTCACCGTGCCTCATCTCACTGCTTCTTCCCTGTCACCTGTTCAAGCCCCCACTTCACATCAAGGACACAGAGGCTCAAAGGAGTCAAGGAACTTTCCCTGGTGAAGGCTGAGCTGGGATGGGAACTGAGTCCATAGGGCTGTAAAGCCCATATGTGGTATTCTGCCCTCCTGCAAATGGGAGCATCCTGAAGACCCTTGTCCCACCTGCCTCCCTCATGGCCCCTGCAATACCTGCATCAGGCGTAGTTGCCCATGCAGAGAGGCCCTGGCACAGGCCTCTTGAGTCCAGGCACTGGGCCATCCAGTGGCTGGATTAAGAGGGGATTTGTATGTGTTCCATCTGCTCAGAGCTTGCTGGTGACAGAAATTCAAAGGCAGGGGATGGAGACAGTGTCCAGAAACTTGAGGGGGACAGGTGACCTCCAGCTGGAGGGTGCCCTGACTTGGCCTCTTCCCAAGTATGTGAGGGCTCAAGGCTCAGCCTCCAGGAGGTGCTTGGCCTCTACCCACATCTGCAGCTCCTCCACCCACATCTGGCCCATTTCTGTGCCTACATGTCACAGCTGTTTCCTTCATTTGTGACTCCTGTTTCCTTTTTTCCCCCTTTTAGTAGGTTACCACCTGTTACTAGCTAATAATTCTTTGCATTCAGTATACATGTGATGGTCACAAGCAAGGGTTTAGTTCATGAGGAGTGCACATGGTGGTTACAGATGGGGAATCATGCTTAGAAAGGGGTTCCAGGAGGCTCAGGGGAAGGAGCAGAACAGAAGGTAGTTGGGAGTAGATGTGGGGAGGGGTGCTTCCTGCTGCCTGTTGTGGTCAGGGAGTCTGGGCTTTGGCCTTTGGCTGGTGGTTCCTGTTCCGGTTGAAGATGTTGATGGCTGGATCAACACACATCACGGTTACCATGATCCACAAAGGAGCCACATGCTCTGAAGATTTGGGGGTTGCAGCAGGAGGAATCCGGTTTTCAAAATGTCCTTTTGAGGCCACTGAGTTCAGGCCTGTCTTACACAGGTCAGACAACTTTAACACAGGGAGGTCCCGCCTGGCTTCTCTCACTGTCTTGTACAAATGGACAGGACAACAGGACACGTGTCAGGACAACATGACACCATTTTCTGCAGTGGATGCCAACCACCCAAGCCCTCCGGACAACTAAATGAGCAACTCCAGCTGGACAAGGTTACCTGGGGCTGAAACTGGACATGTCCTAAGATCGGTGTGCATTTTCCTTCTAGGGTGGGAGATGTGCTGGACACATTTTCTACTCCAACTCTCTTTCTTCTATTGCAATGCTACAGGCTAGTTCCCCCACATTCCAAAGTGAGTAATAAATATATTTAAACAAAAGATGTTTATAATTAACCATAAAAAATACTAGAGGCAAAGAGGATTCTTTTTAATATTGTACATTTATTCAAAAGTATATAAAACAACACTGTAAATTATATAGTATCACATAAAAACCCTAGAACTTGATTCGAATAACAAAATATTCTATTAAGAAAGAAATACTGCTCATGAAGATTTTTGTGCCCACCATTCCCAAGTCAGAGGCCCTCATTTATGTCACAACAGCAAGGTGGCAGGGAGTCAAAATCGGCATACATTCTACATCCTTCACGGCACTGTAGGGCAGGGTAAGACTCCGTAGCAATGGTTTCGGCCTGGCTGTTCTTGGTGTACAACACCGTGTCTGGGTTGTGACCAGATTCCTTTGCAGCTCTTGAGAAAAGACACACACAAAGCACAGGCTTAGAATTTTTTCTTCTCAGTCCTTTTGTTAGAACTGTTGGGGATATCTGAGAAGTTAGTGCTGAAGCCAATCAAACAGGAACACGAGTCCTAAATTAAAGCTCTCACCCCTGTCCCAAGTTCCTCTTTTGTAGACTGACGTTACAAAAGTAAGGGTGAGTGAATTCGCAGGCAAAGTCACCCAGCTGGTCACTGCAGGCCCTCAAGATGCAGAAATGATGAGAAAGTGCTGCATTCAGCTGTGCCCAGGGCTCCTGGATGTGCTGCTGTGAACTCCTTTGAATGGGGACACAATTGCATCTGACAACTAATCTCTACTGAACTTAAAGGGTCTTCTCCCCAAACTGCAATCTTCTCTTATCTGACCTACCCTCCCTTGTCCGCTGTCCCCCAGGTTTTTCACACAGGTCAGCTGTCCCTGAGATCTAGAGGCCCGGTTATTTTCTCCAAGGCCACCAGAAACAAATGGAGTGCTCCCAACACAGGCAAGATGAAATCAATCCAGCCTGTCCTCCATGTGAGCACAAGGCAGAGCTCATTCACGCAGCCTCCCCCACAGAATCTTCAGCCAGCAGTGCCCAGGACAGAGGGAGGGTTGGCCAAGGTGCTGAACTAAACACCAGATGGTAAACTTTGTAAGGTCCTGTGAGAGCCAAGCAGCACTGACACTCACAGCCCCCAGCTGAGAACATCCTACAAAATCCAGCCAGGAAGAAAAACAAATAAGATTTTACACTCAGCTGCCTTTTTGCCTTTTCAAAGCTGCCTGTTCTTCTTGACCTTGCCTAGGGATATGGCCACAGTAGCAAGGAATGACCTTGCTCCAACAGGGAGCCCAGGTAGCCCATTGAGGGAGTGTTATTCCCTTTTCCCCAGGTGACTCACTTCAGTGCGTTGCCTATTTTGAAGTAAAGACAGAGCACAACAACTACCAGCAGGAGCAAGGCCGTCAGGATACCACCAGCAATGACAAGCATAATTACTGTATGGAGGCCAAAAGACGTTGACGTACCTAGGCAGAGAAGTGCAAGCAAAGCAGTGAGCCCATGTGGCCTCCCCACACACAACCACTAAGCAGTGTTCAGTGGAGGGAGAAGGAACCCCAAACCCAGATCTCTGTGTGTGTAAAACATCAAGAAGTCTTCCCAGGGTGGCCTAGGATCCTAAGCTGGCCCAGAGATGGTGGGGGGAAAGAAGCCCATTTGTCAATGAAAAGGAATTGAAATGCACAGTCCAGAGAGAAGGATATCAGAAAGACAGACCCTGGGAAGAATCTTTCCCTTTCACAGGTGTGATATGCAGCCGGAAAGAACAAGCAGGCCTGCGCTGGAGTTGATGGCATCACTGCCCAACACCCAGGCCTCCTGAGCTATGCTCACTTTCAGAGTCAGAAATGACCCCTTACCAGATGTCAGGCTCAAAGATCTTCTGTGGGAATGTTACTGGCCAACAATGCTGAGACTGTGCAAATCCATTTAGTAAAGGGTGCATGTTTTAGGAAAAGAACTTTACAATTCTTCCTCTGACAACTGACATTTTTCCTCCTAAATCTTAAATTCTCCCAAGAAATCCAATTTGGGATAATTGATTAACTTTCTGAAACTGGGAAAAAGTGAGCCAGGGGAGAATAAACAATCTGACTGCCAAAGCATACTTACCACCTTCTAACACTTCATGGCTGGATGAAAGCCAACAGTAAAAAAAACATACAGTCAAAGTAAACCTCAGGGAATAGGACATCTTATCAGGAATTTCTCAAACCTTTAACTTGAGAAAGAAAATTCCAATGATTAACATCCAAAGTTGAAGAGCTTGCTTTTAGAAAGAGTCTTCCACCAGAGAGAGCTAGCAGAATGGTTATCCTTAATCTAGTTCCAACTTCTGTGCCAATCAGGACACAGGCTGTGTGACATCAGTCCTCTGGACATCAGCTCTCTTTCATGGAGTTCTGAATTCCATTCCACTTCCAGATACATGTTAGCACGAATGGAAGTGGATATGCCTAAATACTCTCTTAAAAGCCATGTAATACTCAGTCTCCCCTTTTCAGGTTTTGTTTCTCTCAGAGAAAAGTTTTAGTTAAGAATCTGATTCCCAGTGATGCCATGTTAGATTATTTTAAATGTCCAGTTTTCAAAAAAGCCTACAAGAAAAAAAAGTCTATAAGAGAGTATGGCCCATAAAGGACGGGAAAGCAATAAATAAAAACTTTTCTGGAAGAAGCCCAGACATTGACCCTACTCGAAAATACTTTTAAAGTCTTTAAATTTGTTTAAAGGAATCCATGTCCAAAAAACTAAATATGAGAACAATGTCTCATCATAGAAAATATCAATAAAGATAAAAATTATTAAAAAGAACCAAACAGAAATTATGGCATTGGAAAGTACAATAACTGAAATGTAAAATTCACTGCAAGGTCTTAATAGCAGATTTGAACTGACAGAAGAAAGAATTGGTGAACTTGAAGAAAGTTGAGATTATCCAAACTGCAATATAGGAAGGGAAAAAAGGGTAAAAATGAACACAAAATTTCCAGTTTCTGCACCAACATGTGAAGACCTTGGGAGTATTTATTCCCATCCTCACAACAAGTAAAAAAGCTGAATACACTGACTGAATAAAAGCTGAATCAACAATTCTTAAGTCAACCAGCAAACTGAAGTCACAGGGCAAAGAACCACCCCCAAAATTAAAGAGAGAGGGGCATACAGAGAATACCAGCTTAGGAGCAGAGGCACTGCCAGAGCCAGCAACTGGTAAGAACACTTAAATGGTAACTGATATCTTCCTGGATGATGAATATGGACTAGCATATTTTAAAACTCCTGAGGGCCCAATTTTGGTTTGTTTTGGTGGTGGGGGCACACTTTCATGAGTCATATCTCCCAGAGCTCCCCAGGTTCTTATATTGAAGACTACGGGAAAATCCCTTTATGTTTTTGTCTCCACTGACACTGAAGTGAAGGTAGCCTCATTACCACTGTGAGATAAGAAAAGTCAGGCAATTTCCCCAGGCCTCCTCTGGTGCCACCCCAGCAGTTGGGTGGTGAGACATTGATCATCACCTACAGAGGTCTGTCCTGCAGACCCTGACTCAAGGACGGATGAATAAATGCACACCTGGTTCAGTGATCCGAGTGGGCTAGGGATAGTCGTTGGCTGCTTTCCGGGGGTGACTGACACCAATAGACCAAGACCCTCTGTCCCTCCACACATTCATTCAGTAAAAATTTTACAACAGAGGTTCTAAGTTAACATGCTTGTGGATAATTAACATGGTTAAAAGAGTAATTTTAAGAATGATAAAAACTTGAGATTCCAGGGCCCAGAGTAAACACTGTTAATGGGTAATTCCCCTTTGAGCCCCCCTGAGAGGATCATCCAGCACAAATTTTATGTGAGTAAACAGAATAGAAACAAAGGGATGTGGGGTAAACAGATTTAAACTAGGAAAACCTCTTATTATCCCTATATTTTCCCTAACGTAATGGACCAGCCGCTTTCAGCCTGCCCCAATAAAATCTTTCAGCCTTCCAAAAGGTTTGAGACTATAATCTATAACTTTCCCTAATATTTTGCCAGTCACCCCAGGTTAATCCCAGCAAGGTGGAAAGTTGCCCCATTACCACTGGGTCAGAGAGGAAATCCAGACTCCCCAAGGCGTCTCCACTAATACCACAGGGGTCAGGTTATCACCCAGAGTTGAGTCTCAGCTCTCTATTCAGCCTTCTCTGACACCACTCTGGTGGAGGGGTGCTTTGGGATACTTCTTTACAGCTAGGTAAGGGTAGACATCTAGGCTCTCTACTCAGCCTTCACTGGTGGAGTTGGGATAGGGCCATAGTTGTTTGTACTTTGTTTGCCTAGAATGCAGAAGCTATTATCTAAAAGTTTTCCGTCTCATTGAGCTGCCCATTTCCTGGTCTTTTGGCCAGAAAAAAAATAGTCTCTTGTTGGGGCTCTTTTTTCTGAACCCATTGGTGTTTCCAAGTTACTTGCTTCTTCAGCTGCAAGTTTAGAAGTCTGAGACAAAAAACAAAACTTAGGGAACTCACTACCATGTTAATACTTGGATCCCAAGGTCCCTAGCTAGCTTTCCTTCTTCTCTCCACCTATTCAAGTCTTATGTTTGTTTTGTATATAATGTCCATAGATTTTAGTTGTACTTCAGAAGAAAAAGAAAAAGTATCTTTTCCCATAAGTGGAAGTCCCCCATACAGGAAATTTTTAAATCAATCCTCTGCTTAAAAGCCACAAACTCTGCACTTGCCCAATCCTGAAAAAGCAGTTATATGTCTCCTTAAGTTTTGTACCCTGGGTCCTTTGCATGTGTTATCCAGTCCATATCTCAATGTAACATCTTTCCAGCCTCATCTCCCTCTGCATTACCCCACACCCCATGCATTTTGATGCCTTAGAGCCTGGCTAGATGGCCCTCCCTGTTCCTCGTCTCCTCTATCTGCTAAAATACCAATCTTGCAAGACTTCAATAAAATGCCATGTCCTCTACAAAACCTTCACTGATTTCTGCCTCTCTTCCTCCAGTGTTAATTATTCCTCTCCCTATGTGTCCATGCCCTTTGTTTGTACCTATATGGAAATTTGAATTGTTGACTAAGTGTAGTGGCTCATGTCAGTAATTCCAGAGCTTCAGGAGGGTGAGACAAATGAATTGGCTTGGGCCCAAGAGTTTGAGACCAGCCTTGGTAACATGGTGAGCCCCTATCGCTACAAAAAAATTTTAAAATAAAAGTGAAAATAAATTACCCAGGTGTGGTAGCGGATGTCTGTGGTCCCTACTTGGGTTCAGAGGGATATAACCCTAAATAAGTTTGGTCATCATTAAGGAGCTAGGACCTGTGGACCCTCCCTATGGAGGTCATCTCTCAGTTTTCCTCTATTTCTGTGGTGACTTGATTGCTGTTGGATAGTCTGTTGACTTATGCATTGAATGTTTGCTTTTTCAAGGTGTTTGTGAACTCCATGGGAGCAGGAGCTCTGCAACCTTAGGTATCAGAAGACCTAGAACCCTTTGGATGCTGGCACATGTTATGATCAATGACCAAAATCTGAATTTTGTCAATCTAGTATTCACTTTCTCTGACTAAGCTTCAAAATTTAGACAGTGCAGAAACTCAGACACAGCAGTTAAACCCTGACCAATATTATTTCATTTATTAAAGAATGCATACTTTCTACATTGCTTATAAGTCACCAACATTTTACAACTTCCAATATGTTTTAGTAATATCTTTCTGAGTTGCAGTGAAGACAACCCGAAGGCAACAACCAAAACCTCCGTTTGAAAGATTAGGAAACTGAAGCTCAGAGAGTGGAAGTGACTCCCTTGGGTCACACAGCAAGTCACCAGCAGCAAAGAAACTAGGACCTCGTCCTCTAACCCTTCCCTCCATCTCCTGATTCTCAGGTCCAGTGCTCTTCCACCCTCAACCTTCCTGAACCCTCTGAAATGATGTGTTGTTCCCCATTCCTTTTGGCTGTCAACTGAAAGATCTGCTAAGAAATCCAGTTGCATTTCATTTAAGAAAGGGGCTGATTTTTGTGTTAATGTTTTCATTCTCAGCAATATCTCACTGATGATCACATGTGGTGACAACTCAAGAGTAGTGAGAGGAACAGGGTTGTGTGTTACCGATGGCAGAAGGTAGGCAGCAGCTGTGCTCCAATCAGTGAGTTAAACTTTGCAATGCAATTCCTGTTACAGGGGCTGGCCTTATCTCTATGGAAATTCTCTGTTATTCACATCCACAAGAACTTTCACCTAATCAGTTATTTGCAAACTGCCCATCCTGTGACTAACATCTGAGTCAAATGGTCACAAACACCCTGATGCCTGCTAAATTGCATCTCTGGTGACGGAAGCGTCCTGGATCCAAAACTACATAAGCCTGTGAGCCCCCTACTTGGCCCAGTTCCCATCTCTGTGCCTCCTCCACAGCTCTTTCTGCTCTGCTCCTTGGAATCTCACCTTTGCCTTCAGACTCTTTGTGCCAATGAGGACCTTGCTATGGCCCTGGCAACTGCTATGAGAAGAGCTGGATTTTGCCCCAGAGAGAGGATCTCCTTAACGGAATCCTTTATTCTCAGAGGAATGAAGACTGTGGTATACAACATGCAATCAGATTTTATGAACTGCCAAGGTTTAAAGACAGTTTTTGAGTCTTTGTAAAACCCAAATGGCACATTTTACTAATGCGTCCCAGAACCAGATTACACCTCTCTTCCCATCTCCCAAATTCCCACCCAATCTTTCCATCACCCAACTTTATGGCTGTAAAATCAGTTTTAAAAGAACCAAAGAGAAAACATTTGCAAACTCAGTAATGGATTACCATGTTCTACCTTATCAGTACCCGTCTAGGCAGGTGATCCATGCAGACCCCCCACAGGTGCAGGAAGGTCACAGTCTGTCACACACTGGGCTCTGGGATTTGCCCTTTAACTCACAGGCTTAACTTCCAAAAATGTGACAAGACTGATCCTGTCAAACCAATCTCTCATTTCTTTGGAGGCATTCTTCTCCATACTCACATGAGCCAAGAGAAGTAAGTTCTTCATCTTATTTCACCTGCATAAATAATGGCTCCTCTGCTCCAGAAGGGCAAGAAACATTTCAAAAAGAGCTCCAACTTTATCATGTGTTGGACACCCCCTTGTCAGGCATCCTCCAGGGTCTTCTAAGTGCAGCTTCCCATCTCACTATTTCTAAGGCAATTGGAGAGGAGAATAGAGACCAGTTCAAGAATTCTCTAGCTCAGGAAAAGGGAGATCATTCATTCAACTTGTCAGTTTCTTCAGTCTATAGTACCTCAGACAGAAGAAGAGCTCAGCTAACATGCTGAGCTAAACAACCAATAGTAAACTCAGTTATTTAAAGTGACAACAAGGCAGCACTGACACACAGAGCCACCAGGCTGAGAACATTCTATTTATGAACTCACAGCCCAAAGCCAGAAGGAAAAAAAAAGCCAAGACTGTACACAAACATGCCTTTGCCTTTCAACCTCTCCTGCTGTTCCTGACCTGAACCATCTGTGGCTTGCACAGCAAGGAATGCCCCTGCTGAAGCACAGAGTGTCCAGGTATCCCATTTGAAGGGATATACCTCATTAAGTGACTCATGTTTGTGAGTGACTCACATCTTTGCCATGGCACACTAGAAGGAGACACAATCAGTCTGAGCAGCAACCAGGAAGAGACCAAGACCAACTATCATCTCTGTCCCAAGACTAGCAGTCTCATGTTTATATGGATAGACACCTGAAGCAGGGAGTGTCAGCGTGGGGAGTCAGCAGTGCCTGCCTTCAAGGGGCCAGTCTTGGGGGAGGTCCATAAAGCCCTGATTCTGCAGCTCAATCCCAACGAGAATGGCCTTTGACACTGGAAAGACCAGACAGCAAAAGCATCTGAACATCTTTCCTACTTCCAGTAGGTTAAGGCCTCAGTCTCAGTCTAGCCATGCTGGGGAGTCTACATTGGTCTCTCCCTTCTTTCCATGGGCCTAAATCAGGACTAAAGAAGCATCCTCAGAGGCCCCAATGGGTCCTTCTCCAGCCCACTCTCCCCTGGACAGATCCACTGCATGTTGCAAAGAGATGTAGACAGCGATTATAGATAGATGTTCATTTCACCTGGACTGAGATCACCCTGGGTTGCTGCTGCTTCCCTCAGCCACGATATCTCCCCCTCCACCTCCCACCTCTAAACACCAGTAGCCTCATGATGTCTCTGAGCTGCTGGCCCCAAAAGCCAGGCCCAGCTCTGCATTTACATTTCACTGGATGGAGACAAATAGAATTTGGTTGCTTGTGATTGTAGGAATGAGGCTCCTATTTCTTGCTGGCTGATGGCCCACAGCCACTCTCAGCTCCTACAGGCCACCCACTCACAGGCCCTCTCTCACTACAAGGCACTTTACTTCTCCTTTCAAGCTAGCAGGAAGGCCTCCCTCTGATGCTCCACCCACCTTCTTTAAAAGGGCTCTCCTAATAAGGTCAGATCTACTCAGATAATCTATGTTGATTGGCTCAAAGTCAGCTGATTAGTAACCTAGACACAAGGGTGACATTCCATCATATTCAGTGGTCCAGCCTACCCTCTAGGGGATGAGAATATACAGGATATCTGCATGGGGGAGCTGGACTCTTGGGGATCATCAGAGAACTTTGGGTACCATTAGGTTACTATGCTGCCACTTATAAAAGGGAATCATTTTGGTCCAAACCATGAAGCCAACAGCAAGGAGATCACTCCTCGTACATTCTTGAATGTGCACCTTTGGGTCCTGAAGCCAGAAAGTTCTAGGAACTGGGAGAAGACTACAAAAAGTGGTTACCCAGGTATCCCTTACTATCTGTGGACTACACAGAACCTCTGAATCCTTCTAAACATGGTGTCCCCAGTACCAGTGAGAAGTACTCCTTTGGCTGGTGCTCCCCAGAGACTACAGGGGGAGTGCACTAAGGCTTCTGGGCACCCCACCCTCCCTGGCAGTTATGCAACAGACTTTTGTGAGCAAAATCTGCACATGGTTCCTCCAGGGATCTGGCAATATATTAAATATCCTTAGGAAAAATGCTCTTTTCTTCTTGCAAACTTTTGGTTTCCATATGAGGTTCCTCTTCCAGGACTCAGGAAACTAGGCTCCCACAGAGTTGGCCATCCGTGGTCTCCCTGAATCTTTTGGATGAAAGTAGATAGCACACATAAGACAAGGTAAGGCCTGACTGATTCTACCGGTAAAGATACAGTAATCCACTTCTCTATTCAGATGGTTTAGTACTCAGACACTGAAAGACAGATTAGCCAAAGGTGCCCCAATCCCAGTCTGAACCAACTAGACTCAGGAGCGGCGTTCAAACTGCGGGGAAACAAAAGAGCGGAGCATGCGCACTGGCCGCCCCTGGCTCTGGCTGATGCACGCTGTGCAGTCAGGGAGCATCAGCTGAGATGGCACCTGGGAAGGCCTGTGTGGCCGAACACCCACCATTAACGCTGTTCAATATCCATTTCAACTCCCCTCTCACGCGAGAACGCGTGGGAGGGAGGCAGGGTGAGTTCGGAGTAAAATTAACCCAAATCGACAGGAGTCCGCAGACCCGATGGAGTGAAGGCAGAAAAGGCCCAGGTGTCCACTCAGGAGAGAACGAGATCAGGAGTTGGTCCTGCACGTCGCGTAGAGCGACAGACCACACCTACCTGATCACAGACGCTCCCCATCCTGCCCAGCAACCGTGGTCCATGCTGCCTGCTATTTGTTCCCTGCCAGCGGCAAAAAACCGCCCTCGCGTCAGCGCGCAGTACACCGCGCCTGCGCATGGTCTCGAGCGCCAGAGCGAGGGGCTGCCACTGCACATGCTCCGCACAGTCTGAACGCCGCTCCTGAGTGCAGTAGGTACCTGTGCCTGCGCGTATCTGGTGCCTGCTCTCCCTACCAAAGCCACAAGCGGCGGGGATTTGAAATGAAGTGAGCCGGAAGTCGCTCTGCCTGCCCATTTCCACGCGGCACTGGCCGACACTCAAGCACTGGAAGAGAGGTTCCGGGGCTGGGCTGGGCCGGGCTGGCAGGAGGCGGCGGAATGGAGACGCGGACCGAGGACGGGGGCCTCACTCGCCGCCCCACGCTGGCCTCGTCCTGGGATGCCACGGGCAGGGTCCTGACCCACAACCTTCTTCTCACCCGGGTCCGTCTCCGCGCCCGCGACTTCTCCTGGGGGGAGCTGCAGGCGCCACCTGCTCCAGGGTGCGCCGGGCCGAAGGGAACGTGGTCGCTGCGCTGGCGACTGCCGCGCTCCTCGGGAAGCTGTGAGGGGAGGCGAGAGAGTCTGAGCCCTGGACCCGGGAGAGCAGTTGATGCCGGGTCTCTGCCGGGGAGGGGGGGCTGCGAGGTGGGGCGAGGCCCCGGGGCTTGAGCGGAGGAAGGTGACCCGGAAGGTCCCCGTCAGACGTGACAGCTCGTCCGGGCCGCTGTCAAAGTCAGTCCGCCCTTCTACCCCCAAACAAGCCAAACTCCTATCCACCAAAACAGGCTGTGTAAAAAGTCCAGCTATAGACGACGGCCATCTACTTCATTTTGGAAAAAAATACACTTTGTCTTTTGTGTACTGCTCCTATCCTATACACAGTAGGTATCCAGTAATTTATCCGAGAATCAATTGCAGGGGACTGAGTAGAACGTTGATGATTGAGGAAAAAACAAAGGGGGAAGCCCAGATCTGTGAAGCCTCCATTTCCTTATGAATCCTGTGTTGAGCATCTGTTAGAAGAAACCCCCTGGCCTAACAGGTGGGTTAGGAGCCATGTTCAGAGAACTATACCGTGTGATGTTTTCACCAGATTTCCCCACAGCCAGGATCTGGTGATTTTGAAGAGAAACTTGAACAACCAAGATGAAAACCCCTGCTTCCTTTACCTGAAGTTTGGCCCTGATGGAGGTGAAGAAATCGCTTCTATTGGCATTTTAAGTTCAGCAAGAAATATGGAAGTGTACTTTGGGAAGGAATACTGTGGAACCAGTAGGGGCAAGAATGTTTGTACTGTTCTGGATGACAGGTGTGTGACTTGTACCTGTGAACGTGTTCTTCTGAATTAGTGTTTTGATGTTCCTCACCTTTTGCAATATTGATTGATTCTCTGACATTGGTGCTTACACTAGAGAGGAGAAGATAAAAGCATACCATGGGCATAGAAGGTTAGACCGTTAAAGCATCTTCTAGGCAATCTAGATCAGCTTCCTCATTTTTAGGAATGTGGAAATTTAGAGCTAGTAAAGGGGAAGTGAGCCTGGAGAGGGCCATACTAGTTAAAGTGTCCAGGCAAGAGTGCAGTCCTTATTGCTGCTTCTTGACTCTCTCCATAAACTCACAATGGTCTGTTTTCCAGAAGTTAATTTGACAGTCAGTCTGGAATTTGATCACATATTTTGTAAGGAAGCTGATTACAAACATGTAATCATGCACAAGCCTATTTAGTCCATATGCAATGTGTTATAGTTTGATCTTTTCTCTAGTCCCTTACAGGAACATTCTACACTAATCTCACCTTAATAAAATCACAACATCAACTAATGTATAAATTATGCATATTAGAAATAATAAGTACACAACACAGTGTTAATTAAGTCACTTGAGCAGGGATCTATCTCACTGTTGGTCCCCTACCAGGCAAACTGAATCTCAGGATTTAAGTAATAGCCTGGAAACAATTTATTTTTTACTGAAGCTGTTTAAAATGATAATTTATACAAATGAAAAAAAATTATTGTCCTTTTTAGTAAACACAAAATTATTTTCTACAAAAATTATTTAATATTGGCATCCTCCACTCATGCCTGTAAAATAAAAGTAGGTCATCACTAAATTTTAACTAATTTGACAATTGCATATGTTTATGTATAATATGTGCTGTTGGTTTGTTAATACAGTTAGTCCAACTTGGTCCCTGTTTATATGAAACTATGGTGCCAAGAAAACCACAGTTTGGCCCCATTATATTAAAAAAGATAAGTATTAGAGATGTTACAGAGAAAAGCACCTAAAAGCTATTTGGACTGGTCCCTTGAATATGAAAAATATTGTTGAGGTGAACTTCAGTGATGTCATCAGAATCTAAGAGTGCTGAGCTACAAACCAGCCCAAAGTATTAATGCAGTTCTGTTACTCACTGGCTGAGTGACCTGGGGAAAATCTCTACATTTCTTTGGACCTACCTCATGAGTAAATTAGAGGACTAAAGAAAATAAAGCATTGTATTCTTCTTATCTCTATATTACTTTATACAGGGTTGTGAGATTTACTTTAAGGACAAAGTTGGCCGGGCATGGTGGCTCACACCTGTAATCCTAGCACTTTGGGATGCTGAGGCAGGACAATACCTCGAGCCCAGGAGTTTGAGACCAGCCTGGGCAGCTTAGGGAGACTCTGTCTCAAAAAAGTAAAAACTAATAAAAAGAATAAGAAAAAAGATAATGACTTTTATAGGTGGCAAGTAACAAACTTACACATCAGATTGTTCCAAGACATTGTTTTGGGTAGTATATATTAATAGCTTCCAAAGTCGTTTAAATAAAGTGATTTATTCAACAAATATTTGAGTGCCTACTGTTACCAGATACAGACTGTAGTCAGCATTTAGGAAAAACAGCAGTAATAAAATAAATTGGAGTGACTGCTGTTTTCCTCAGCTAGGTCATGTTGCTTAGATTCTAATGGGATGACACAGGTAATAAACACACTCTGAATAAAACTGTGCTTTATTTAGTGGTGAGAAAGGCTATAAGGATTAAGAAGCAGAAAGTGGATAATAGGGAGGATGAGAGGTGAGTGTTTAAATGTAATGCGGTGTTTCCTTAATTGTGAAGGATGGTCACATCTTTGGTGCCATAGGTCTGGCTTACATATGGTTCTGTGTGTGTCTCTGAAGATGAGTATTTCTTGTAACTATTCTGTGGAAGTATATGTGAGTGCAGAGGGTCATTTCACATAAGAAAATCCCAAGCCTACTAAAGCTTATTCTGAGGAAACAGAATACAAAAATTAAAAAAAATAGTTACTGTTGCATTTTCAAATACTCAGTAGTGGGTACTAGAAATTTTAGCACATAATCACAGCTACCATGTGAAATCATTGATACTGTCTTCTCTCATCTTAATTCTTGCCTCGGGTATTTGGCATTTGCCCAGGATCATACAGGCTGTAAAGAGCAGACTCATAATTGAACTCTGGTCTCTCTCATTCTAAATCCTGTTTCCTTTCCACTTTGATGCTGTTTTTGGTGCCACACATGAAATGTCCTTTGGCTCATAAACATGGATGAAGAGAGGCAGCATAAAGCATTGGAGAGGGCACTGTTATAACAGCTAGGACAGCTAGGTTCTAAGCCTGAGTTTTACTAATTGAGTAATCCTTTGATAAGTTAGAAAATTACCTCTGACTTCATCTTTTTAAATGTATAAACCAGTGGGTTACATGAGACCTTCTTGACTCTGCCTTTAATTCTAAATGGTCACTTATATTTAGCAATTCAGTAAACACTTTGGATAGGCTTCTGAACACCCTTATTTTGTATTAAATAATATTATAGTAAGTTGCAGTGTGATAAAGTCTCAGATTGGCATAGTTTATTTTGAGTTGCTTAAATAAATGAAACTTTAATTTTACCTTCTTTCATGTATTTAGTATATTTTTTTAGTTTGAAAATGACATTGTCTTATATAAATTGTTCTTCTGAGTTTCATAATAAATTGGAACCTCTGACCATTACTGTGTTGGGGAAAACTTGAAAATATATTTAAAATTTACATTTGTTTTCCTGAATACTTTACTCTTGCTGATAATACAAAGAAGTGACCTTAAATAGTGAATATTTTTTAATGTTATTATTTATTTTCCTGAACTTTGTATTGTAGTAGTTGCTGTCCTGTGGTTAAAGGCAGTGTGTGTTCATCAGTAAAGTTGTGATACACATGAGAGCAGTTTCAAATTCTTCAACCGGCTCTCCTGCTCTAAAATCAAGAATAGACCTAGACAGGGTCCAAACCATAATGGAGTCCATGGGGTCAAAGTTATCTCCTGGAGCTCAGCATTTGATAAATATGGTTAGGTTTCAGCAGCGGGTAAGGAGAAATGGATGCCTTTCTAGATACCATTAAAAATGTCAAAGCGATGGCTTTTTGTAAGTACATGCAGTGATGTAAATTTTTTCTTTGAAATTTTGTAATTGATTTAACTTATCCTTATTTACTTGTGTAAAAAATAACATTTCATAGACTAACCCTCTTACAAAATGTTTTGACTACAAATCTTCATACTTTTTCATGAATTCATTCACATATTTATTCCGCAAGTATTTATTAAACACCTTGGTGAACGAGGCATTAGTTTGAGTACACTTCAGGTGCAAAGATGATCAGTTAGTTGATAATTTGTCTTTAAAGATGTACATTCTAGGACATATAAGTGGGGAAGGATGAAGATTAGGAAAGGCTCACTAAAGGAAGTGGTATTTTATCTAGGCCTTTAACGGACAGGATTAGGCAAGTAAATTTGGAAAAAGGACAATTCAGACAAAAAATAGGGTGAATAAAATCTTCAATGCTAGAAGAATTGGATTTGGCTGAGAAATGAGTAGTAGTTCATTTCTCTGAAGCAGAAAGGTAATGGGGGAAGTGTAAAGTAGATTTCAGCTAGGTCATGGTGAGAGCTTTGAATGCTACTTTATTTTTTTAGGTGGAATCTTTCGATGTCGCTAAGGCTGGAGTGCAGTTGCACAATCGCGGCTCACTGCAACCTCTGCCTCCCAAGTTCAAGTGATTCTCCCACCTCAGCCTCCCAGGTAGCTAGGATTACAGGTGCCTGCCACCATACCTGGCTAATTTTTTTTTTTTTTTTTGTATTTTTAGCAGAGACAGGGTTTCACCATGTTGGCCAGGCTGGTCTCAAACTCCTTACCTCAAGTGATCCACCCACTTCAGCCTCCCAAAGTGCTGGGATTCCAGGGGTGAGCCACCACACCCTGCCTGAATGCTACTTTAAATTTGTAAATATTTCCACTGTCACATGTAAGGTGAATCAGAAGAAAATGAGAAGACAAGGAGAAGACCAGCTACTTGTTCTTCCCCTCATCCAGATGAGTGTGAATGAGGGTCTAAGATTGGACATAATAACATGATGCTGGATGGTGAAATGCTAAAACAATGGAACTGTTGGGACTTTACAACTAACTTAATATTGGTGTTGTAAGAGAAAAATAGAATCAAATGTGAAATTCAGACTTTAAGGATGGCAATACCAATAATATGAATTCAACCCAAAGGAAGAGGATGCTTGGAGGAAAAATGAATTTAATTTTGGGAATATTGAGTTTTAGCTGTGAATAAGACATTCCCTGGAAGAATGTTGCAAACATCTGGAAACAAAGGATTAGGACACATGGAATGAACCTTCAGTGGCTGGAAGGGGAGTTTAGGGGTATACTTACAGTAGCTAACAGGGAGTGTGGCGAAGGGAGGACTGAAGCAAGGAAGAAAGACCCTTGGAGAGTAGCTGCATTTGTAAAGATATAGGGGGAGGAAAAAGGAACCAGAAACGAAGAAGGCAGGAGTGTGATAGAGTAGCAAGAGAAAGGATTTGATGTCAGTTGACAGGTGACTTCAAGCTCTTGTCCCACCTCTTCTTAGTTCTGCATCCTTTGGGCAAGTTGATGCAAATTTTTTTTTACTATGAATTCTTCATGTACAAAATCTAAATCTAAGTGATACTGTAATGATCACAGGATTGATGTGAAAATTTAAAATAAATAATGCAAGTAAAGAACTTGTAGATGTGTGGCCTACAGATACTAATGTAGTACCAGTATTACAATATGGGCTGAGTTAAGAGAACCAGGAGAGATGATTATAGAAACGACAGAAGGAAGAGTTTCAAAAAAGAGGGAAACGTATACTTTTCTTCCACATCATGATCAATTTCACCTGGAAACCTCAGGAGATTCCTAATTAGTCCTCCAGCTCTGCTAAAATCTATTCTCCACAGTGCACTCAGAATGGCCTCAAAGTTCTCATCCTGTGTAAAGCCTTCTCACTGCTTCCCATCACGCCTAGAATTAACCTTGAATCCTTTGATCTGTAAGATGTGGGCCCTGCTTGCCTTCTCAACCTCATCTCCTGCCATGTTTCCTTGGGCAGCTTGTTCGAGACATTCTGACTCTGTGTATTCCATAAATATCCAAATGTGTTTCTACCTTAGGACCTTTACGCTTATAACCGTTTTCTTTCCCTAGATCTTGGCATAACTGACTTTTTCCTATCAGATTTTGGCTTAACTGTTACAGCCTCAATGAGATCTTCCCTAACTACCCAGTTTTAAGTAGCCTTTCCCTCCAAATCTGTCACGTTTTCTTCAGAGCCCTCTTGACTTTGTTTACTGTTGTTTATGTATTGGTCTGTTTGTCTCATTAAAATGTAAGCTTTGTGCAACAGACACCTGGTCTTGCTTGTTTATAGCATGGAATATATATACAATAAGTGTGCCCTTTGGATGATCAAGTAAGGACTCCTTGGATATTGTGAGGGGGGTCAGTTTGAATAGTGATGAGGTGGAAATCAGATCTTCAGGGATTTGATAGTAAATGGGTTTTTGGAATGTGGAGGTACCCAGGGAACAAGGGTTTATTTCAAGAAAAGTAGAGATAAGGAACTTCAAGAAGCCCTTCAAATGTTTATCGGATGCAGATTCCTGACTCTCACCAATGCCCTGAATCCTAGGGAGTGCAATTCAGGAATTACTATTTCTAACAGGCATCTCCAGATGAGTCTTATGCGTAGTATATTATGAATATAAACTCTGTCTAGAGTTTTCTCTGCATATAGAAGCATATACCTTTCAGTAAGTACAATGTATTGTAACAGATTCCCACCCCCCCAATGCCCCCCACCTCCCACACAAACACTCCAAATCATTACATCTGGAGACATTTGGGGAACACCCTGGGGAAGAAAGAATGTTAAGTCTTCCTTTTAAACATGCTAATAAAAGACTTACTTCTTAATAAGAAAGTTCTTATTTATGGAGTTAACAAACCAGACATCTATATATCGTCTCCCTGGAAAATGTCATATAAGCTTTGTGACTATCTGAGTATAACATGGGGATGTTTCATGACCAAAACAACTCTTGTGTAATGGTGTAACTATACACATTGTCTAGGCAGGGTCTGTCCTGTGTTACAAGTCTCAGCCTCCCTCAGCTTTACCTCTGCATTGACATTACTTGCTTTCTTGAAAGTTTTGCTAAAGTTTGGTATTCTGAGTCATGTGAATCTGAAATGGTCATCTAAACTTTTGTGATATCTTGATAAATACAAAGGTTTTTTTCCCTTGTATTTGAAGTTCAGTTTGCTGGCTTTGTTTATGCTTCACAATTTAGAATATTGAGTAGGAATTGTATATCAAAGAGTGTAGTATACTGTTGTCATTTAATGTTATCTGAATGAAAGAATGGTATACCCCATTTTCTCAAAGTATATATTCCATTATTCATGATTTATACTGTTTACTTTTTCCCCTTCCAAATAAAAATAGCTTTATTTTTTTTCTTGTTTTTTTCAAAAAGATATGATTTTTTAATAATAAATAAGTAAAAATCATTTCAGAAATCCTATAAGATATTCAGAGATAAAACACTTGACTTTTCAGAAATTTCACAGGGTGTGTTCACATACATGAAATTATATATATACACTTACATTTATATAGTTATTTACATTTTCATATATAAGTATATTGACACAATTCTGCATAAATACTTTTCATGTTCCTTTATGCTGCTCTATAGTCATTTTCCTCTAACATATGAGGTGGGCCACATTCTAAGCAAGAAGTATATCCCTATGTCATTTTTAATAACTATACACTATGTCACCTTATGAATATTTTGTACTTATTTAATCACTACTAGATTAGTGAGTAGATTCCTCACATCTTTTGGTATTATGGTTAGCACTGCAAAGCAGAAACTTCTAAGAAAATTGTCAATTCTTGTGACTCAGTTTAGAGTACTGCATTTTATTACTGTAAATTAAAGAGGCCTTTGTGGTGGAAACATAACAATATGCCAATGCCATTTTACTAAGCATTCGAGTATTTATTTTAATATATTTTTAGAAAAAACTACCGTTAAATGACTAAAAGTCCCAACTGTGGAGTTAAGTGTCTAGTTCATGTTGCAGTCCTGCCACTTACTAGCTGTGTTACTTTGGCCAGGCCACCTTTTTAGCATTGGTCTCTTCAATTTAATTTAACATAAAGTGATAGTAATATCAGCCTACTTCATAAGGATGTTTGGTTGATCAGAAGAAATAGTGCACAGTGCCTGACTCATACTCTAAAAGTTAACTGCCAAGATTACTAATATTAACGTTTACTTATCTTGTTTAGAATTGTATTCCTATCAAAGACTAGCTTCAGTAAGTGTTGGCCAATGCTGGATACAAGCACATGATTGGACTACAATCCTCATCTACCTTAGGAGCCTTAGACAAGTCATCCTCCACTCCTTTTCCTTTTAGAACTGGATTGACATCTGGGAACGTGACTGAAAACTTACAAACTTACATTGAAAAAAGTACACAGCTACCTGGTGGAGAGAATTCTGCAAAGCTCGAAGAGTGTAAAATTGTGCTACAAAATCATTCCCTTTTTGAAAATGATCTTAAAAATGCAATGCCCTCTTTCTTACCAAAGAAAGCAAGGAACAACTTAAATGTACCTAACTCTGAGTTGCTGCCTTTTCTCCAGAATTTATGTAGTCAAGTTAATCATCTCTGTCTGGGACATAAGGCTGAGTGGCAGGAAAACCTCACCAAGACTGATGAAGGCAATCTTGGTGTTGGGTAAGTATTGTTTTAATACGAATGTAGTTTTGATTTAGTAGGTGGGAGAATTAGATGAGGAGAAAGAGAAACACATTTGTCTTAATGACTGCTGCCTAAAATCTATTTCAATAGAAAATTTTAGCAACTTTAAAAAATATTATTTATTTATATATTTTGAGATGGAGTCTCGTACTGTCACCCAGGCTGAAGTGCAATGACATAATCTTGGCTCACTATAACCTCTGCCTCCCAGGTTCAAGCGATTCTCCTGCCTCAGCTTCCTGAGTAGCTGGGATTAAAGTGCCCACCACCACACCTGGCTAATTTTTTTGTATTTTTCGTGGAGACGGGGTTCCACTATGTTGGCCAGGCTGGTCTCAAACTCCTGACCTTGTGATCCACTCACCTCGGCCTCCCAAAGTGCTGGGATTACATGCGTGAGACACTGCGCCCAGCCCAGTTTACTCCTAATATACTTATAAGGAATAACTATTCTATAGAGGATAATAGATTGTTTTGAAAGAAGTGCCTATAACTGGAGGTGTTGCACACTTGTCAGGCGTTTTGTCAGTTACAAGCATTAGCTAATGGTTGAAGTTGAAAGTGGTCCACAAGAATGAAGAGCAGCTATGGGAACCATAATATGTATATTATTTTCCTGATTGTACCAAATGAGCCATCATAACAGATGTTCTTTGTAGGTCATATTCAACCTAGGCTAATTTTGAAGTCATCAAAAAATGTGTTAACATTGTAATTGTTTATAGCATGTAGGCCCTCATACCCTGGTCTCATAATTCTAAGTTTTTGGCAGTCCTGATTTGATTGAGGACAACCCAACTATATGCTGAGTGTTTAGTACATTCCCCATTCTTTATGTAGACATAATCTGCTGAAATATTGCATTAGGCTAGAATTCAAGACTCCAGTCAGAGACCTAGCTTAACTATTTTGCCTTACTAGTTAAATCTTTTGATGTAGTTTTCTTTTTCCACTATGTAAAGTTAGATATTTGTATTGGTTGAAATTAGTTTAAGGTGTCCAACAGTGTTAAAATTTGGGGAATTTAATTTATTGAAATGAAAGTGGTTCTTTGGATATAGAAAGATATCATTAGTGTTCAATAATTGGTGGTGTACATGAATGATAATTACTTGTTGTATGAGATGGCAGTCTTCAATTGTTGATAGTCTGTATCAGTGGTAACTAGTTGTTGCATAATGGCAAAAAAAATCAAAAGACTATACAGTATACAGGGATTCAAAAACTGCTTGGGACACTTCTGGGTCCAGCTGAGATGGCACATTGCCATTCCTTTCAGATACTAATTTTATAAATAAAAATCCTTGGACATAACACAACAAATAAACATGCAAGGACTGTGAAAGGTAGAAAGAAGTCAGACTGCTTAGGGACTGTGGGATTCGAGGAGCAATGCAATGCTGAGGTTTTTTGTTTGTTTGTTTGTTTTGCCTTCCATATATCTTGGATGGGGTGCCAGAGAAGCCTGCAACCTGGGACAACCAACCAACGGGGACAAAAATTAAGAGCCTCGGGAAAGCCTATTTCTTCTAACCAAAGGACCAGAAAAAGGGAGTCCTAGCAAAACAAAACCTTTCAATAACACTTGTCCTACTCCAGTCAAACACCAGTAGATATACTGCCCTCCTGCCTGCCCTGTTGAAAGAGGGAGTTATACTCTGGTTTCTCTACTGAGGTGGTATCAGCAAGCTAAATGGTGAGCTGTTCTTCCATCTCTCACTCAGAGGAAGTGGGCAGCATTCCAATTCTGCTACTGAGGTGGTATCAATAGAGCTAAGCAGAAGCTGAACTTCCAGCCCTTGCTCAGCTGAAACAAGCGATACTTCAGTTCTCCAGGGTGATGTCACCACCATCCTGCAAAGTCAAGTGATGCTTTAATGTCCTAGCTGGGGTGGTATAAGAAGAGGAAGGGAAAGTTTGGAGCTGAAAATATCTAAAGAAATAATGGTTGAAATTTCCTGAAAGCCAAAATGGTGAAAGGCATGAACTTACAGATTCAAGAAGCTGAGTAAGTTCTACACAGGATAAATCCAAACAAGCCTATGCCAAGTCATATCATAATTTTTTGAAAAATAAAAAATTTAAAAGAAAGCTGGAGAGAAACACCATATTCTCATAGAAAAATACCAAGATTGTTGACACCGGATTTCTTGTCTGAAATTATGGTGGCCAGTAAGAAAAGGCACATTTTTCAAGTGCCGAAAAAGAACTATGAGTCACAAAGTTTATATCCAGGAAAAAATCCTTTAGGAATAAACATCAAATAAAGACATTCTCAAATAAATAAAAACAAATTATTTAGCACTGGCAGGTCTACCCTTAGAGAATGGATAAAGCAAGTTCTCTAAGGAGATGATGACAAAAGAATGCTTAGAACCTCAGAAAGGAAGAAGGATCAATGGAATGGATAAAAATGTAAGAGGTAAATATAGGCCGGGCGCGTTGGCTAACGCCTGTAATCCCAGCACTTTGGGGGGCTGAGGCGGGTGGATCACCAGGTCAAGAAATCGAGACCATCCTGGTCAACGTGGTGAAACCCCGTCTCTACTTAAAATACAAAAATTAGCTGGGTGTGGTGGCGCGTGCCTGTAATCCCAGCTACTTAGGAGACTGAGGCAGGAGAATTGCCTGAACCCAGGAGGTGGAGATTGCGGTGAGCAGAGATTGCGCCATTGCACTCCAGCCTGGGTAACAAGAGTAAAACTCCGTCTCACACACACACACACACACAAAAAAAAAAAAACAAAAAAGAGGTAAATATAAGAGGCCATCCTTCTCATAAATCTCTTAAATCATGGATGAAGTAAAAATCATAACACTATATGATGTAGTACTTAATATCTGTAGAGGGAGTATCTAAGATAATTATGTTTTAATAATTACTTTAAACATAAATGGCTAGATTCACCAATTAAAAGAGGCTTATAGGGTGGATTATAAAACACAACCCAATGATATGCAGTTGACAAAACACACTTCAAATATAATGACACAGGTAAGTCAAAAGTAGAAAGATATGTCATATAAACATTAATTTTTAAAAAGCAGAAGTCAGATATTAATATCAGGTAAAGTAGGCTTCAGAGCAAAGAAATTCACTAGATAAAAAGAAGGACATTACATAATAATAAAAAGACAATGACATAGTGAACCTAAATGGGTATGCACTGAATAACAGTGGTTCGAACCACATGAAGCAAAAAACTGATAGATATTAAAGAAGCTATGGACATATCCATAATTATAGTTGAAGACCTAACACCCCATGATCAACTATTGATAAAACCATTTGACAGAACTATAGGAAAGATATAGAACTGAATAGCACACTATCAGTCAGCAGGATCTAGCTGAGATTTGTAGAACACGCCATTTCAACCACAGCAGAATATACGCTCTATTTAAGCCCCTATGAAACATTCGCTGAGACCATATCCTTGGTCATAAAGCAAACTCTCACAAATTAAAAACAATCAAAATCATGCACAGCATATTTTCTAATGATAAAATCAAACTAGAAGTCAATAATCAAAAGACAGCAAAAAAAAAGAAAAGAAAACAACAAAAAACAAGCCCTTAGAAATTAAACGGCATGCTTCTAAACAATCCACGAGTCAAGAGGAAGTCTCAAAAGCAATGAAAAAAAGAATAGCATAGAACTGGGAGAAAATAAAATTCCAACATATCGGAATTTGTGAGCTGCACCTAAGCAGTACTGAGAAGGAAATTTTTACATTAAGTGTATATGTTAGAAATAAGAAAGATCTCAAATTAGTAATCTGAGTTTCTACGTGAGGGAAAGAAAACAAGAAAAAGAAGAGCAAAGTAAACCCAGAGCAAGTAGAAGGAAAGAAATGGGGACAGCCAAAATAAATGAAAATTGAAAAAAACAGAGAAAGACCAATGAAACAAAAAGCCGATTCTTTGGGGGAAAAAAATAGATAAACCTGTACTAAGACTAACAAAGATAAAAAGACAAATCAGGAATGTAACTGAGCATATAACTATAGATTTTATGGCAATTAAGATATATTATGAACCACTTTACACTCATAAAATTGACAGCTCTGATGATATGAACCAATTTTTAGAAAAACACTATAACACAACCAAGATGAAATAATCTGAATAATTTTGTGGCTATTCATGCTTTTTAGAAACCAAATTTGTAAAAGTCCCCAAAAGAGAAATGTCTAAGCCCAGATGCTTTTATCAGAGAAGACTACCAAATATTTTAAGAAAAGATTATACCAATTTTACATGATCTCTTCCAAAAAGTAGAACTCATTTTATGAGGCCAGTATTACCCTCATAGCAAAACCAGACAAAGACAGTAGAAGATAAAGGAAGACTGCAGACCAGTATCTCATAAGTTGGTTGCAAGAATATGCAACAAAATATTAGCAAGTCAAATCTAGCAATATACTATATAAAAAACTATATACATGGCCAGGCGCAGTGGCTCATGCCTGTAATCCCAGCACTTCGGGAGGCTAAGCCAGGCGAATCACAATGTCAAGAGTTCGAGACCAGCCTGGCCAACATGGTGAAACCTCATCTCTACTAAAAATACAAAAATTAGCTGGGCATGGTGGCATGTGCCTGTAATCTTAGCTACTTGGGAGGCTGAGGCAGGAGAATTGCTTGAACCAAGACTGGGGAGGCAGAGGTTGCAGTGAGCCAAGATCCTGCCACTGCACTCCAGCCTGGGCTACAGAGTGAGACTCTGTCTCAAAACAAAACAAAACAAAACACACAAATAAACAAAATAAAAACAAAACTATGTTTACCTGACAACCAAGTGGGTTTAGTCTAGGTATGCAATACTGATTCAGTTTTAGAGAGTTAATGTAATCTGCCATTTCAGCAGACTAGAAGAAAATTCATATGACCACATAAATAACACAGAAAAGTATTTTTAAAATTCTAACACCCATCTATAATGAAGGGAACTCTCAAAAAACTAGACATTGAGAGGAGCTTCCTCAACTTCATAAATGATGACTACAAGAAACCTATAGCTAACATAATACTTAATGGTGAAAGACTGAATGCTTCCCTCCTAAGTCAGAAACAAGGCAAGGATGTCTTTTCTCACTACTCTTGCTCAACCTAGTACTGGAAGTTATAGCCACAGCAGTTAAGACAACAAAAAGAAATTAAATACAGATTGCAATGAAAGAAAACTGTTCTTATTTGCAGATGACAAGATGGTCTATGTAGAACATCCCAAGGAATTAAAAAAAAAAAGATTTAGAACTAATAAACGAATTCAGCAAAGGTCACAGGATGAAAGAGCAAAATCAGTTGCTTATCTATATTCATATAGATAAGCATCTGATCTATATTTTTTATAAATATAGATTTTGTACCATGGATTCAACTCATTGTGGATCAAAAATAGACAACAAAAAAAAACTGCAATTTTTTTCCTGTCCTTATTCTATAAGTAATACAGTATAACAATTTTTACATAGAATTTACTTTTATTAAGTATTGCCATTTTATATAAGGGACTCAAGCATCTGCAGATTTTGGTATGGACAAGGGTAGGTTTGGGGAGGGAGGTCCTAGAACCAGTCTCCCACAAATACTAAGGCTTAACTGTACAAACAATGACATGAGGAAACCGAAATTTAAAACACAATTTCTTTTTATAACTCAGCTGTCAAAAATGAATTATTAAATTAAATGTTGACTTTCTGGTATAAAATAGTAAGAATAAAAGTAAGCTTTTCAACTTAAACAGACACACTCACTATACTATTTATAGTTGCCCCAAAGAAAACTGAATACGTAGGTATGAATCTAACAAAACTTGTACAGGGTATATATGCTGAAAATTGTAAAATGCTGATGAAACAAATCATAGGAGATCTAAATAAATTGAGGGATATGCCCTGTTTATGGATTGGTGACTCAACATAGCAAAATTGTTAAGTTCTTCCTATTGATATGCAGACTTAACGAAATTTGTATCAAAATCCCAGCAAGATTTTTTTGTAGACAAAGGCAAGACTTTTTAAAATTATATGAGAGGCAAAAGTAGTAGAATGGTTAAAACAACTTGTTTCTCTTTCTTTTCTTTTTTTTTTTTTTTTTTTTTTTGTTTTGAAACAGGAGTCTCTGTCACCCAGACTGGAATAGAGTGGCGCCATCTTGGCTCCCTGTAACGTTCACCTCCTGGGCTCAAGCAATTCTCATGCCTCAGCCTCCCAAGTAGCTGGGACTATGGGCACCGGCCACAACACCCAACTATTTTTTGCATTTTTAGTAGAGCTGGGGTTTCACCATGTTGACTAGGCTGGTCTTGAACTCCTGGCCTCAAGTAATCCACCTGCCTTGGCCTCTCAAAGTGCTGGGATTACAGGTGTGGGGCTTCAGGCCCAGCCTAAAACGACTTTCACAAAAAGAATTAAATGATTGGGAATCACTCTTCCCAGTGCAGAATATCCAATACTGTGTAGTATTGGTGTGGGAGGAGAAATATAGATCAATGGAACATAATAGAGGGCCAGAAATAGACTCTCACAAATATGTTCAATTGATTTTTAATAAAGGTGCAAAACTAGCCAGATGCGGTGGCTCACACCTATAATCCTAGCACTTTGGGAGGCTGAGGAGGGCAGATCACTTGAGCCCAGGAGTTCAAGACTAACCTAGGCAACATGGCAAAGCCCTGTCTCTACAAAAAACACAAGTTAGCCAGGCATGGTGGTACATGCCTGCAGTCCTAGCTACTTGGGAAGCTGAAGTGGGAGGATCACTTGAGCCCAGGAAGAAATGAGCTGCGATTGTACCCACTGCCCTTCAGCCTCAGCAACAGAGTGAGATCCTGTCTCCAAAAAATGGTGTTAGTGCAGTGGGAAATCAGAGAACTGGAGAGACAGATGGGGTTGCAGGGGGATTTTATTTAATGAGATTACGAGCTCCGCGGAATTGCTTCCTAATTCTGAGCAAAGGACAAAGAAAATGGGATATTTTTTATGCATCTAGGATGATGTAGCAGGTACAGAAGCCAGAACAAAGAACAGTTAATCACCTTGTGACATGTTTTGTGATGTACTTCACATTTGAAAAGTAACATTTGAGAAATGCATTCTGCAGTTTTTATCTGCTCTGTGACCTTGCAGCTGGTCAGCAGGGAAAACAGGAATTCCTAGATGTCTGGGAACTTTGCGAAGAATGTGGGGAGGTAGATAAGGGTTACATGGTTTGCAGGAAGGCAGTTAAATATTTTGCCTTAAACAGAGTGGGGATGGTATTATATTAAACAGCATACAACACAGTAAAATTTACTTTGTTATATAGCAACTACAAAGTATAAGACTTGGTTTTACTATTATTGCTATTATTTAATTGCTTCACTAGAGCAATTAAGTATCCAAATCCTTTCACCTAAACTTCACATCCAACACAAAAATTAACTCAAAATGGGTCATAGATTAAAATGATCTTTTAGATGGAAACTGGAGAAAATCTTTAGCACTAAGAATTGCAGAAAAGTACTTAAACGTGACACCAAAAGTAAAATTCATAAAATAAAATTAATAAATTAGACTTCATTAAAGATAAACTTTTGCCCTCTGACCCAATTAAGAGGATGAAAATACAAGCTACAGATGGGAGAATATATTATTTGCAAATCAAATAATCTGACAGATGACTTATACCTAGAATATATTAAGAACTTTCAAAACTCAACAGTAAAAAAAAAAAAAAAAAAGCCCATTTAGACAGGAGATATTTCACCAAAGAGAATACACAAACAGATATGAACATGAAAAGATACTCAACATTACTAGCCATTAGGAATTCAAACTAAGACTATGATGAGATATCACAACACACCTATTTGAACAGCTAAACTAAATGCTCAGGTGGCAGGACAAGTGGCAATATGCAGGTAGCTTCACGAAGGCTCATGATGCACCTCAGCCCACAGGCCCCAGAGAAAACAGCCCAGCTGAAAGGGTGGTGAAGGAAGAGCCCAAGAGGAGGCTCATGAGATTGTCAGATAAACCTGCTCCTGCAAAAGTGCAAACAAAACCAAAAGAGGCAGCAAGGAAAAATCATCCTTGGACAAAAAACTGCAAACAAAAGGGAAAACAGGAGCAAAGGGAAAGCGGGTCGAAGTGGCTAAACAAGAAACTAGAGATTTAAAGATTTACCTGCAGAAAATGGAGAGACTGAAAATGAGAAGAGTACAGCATCTGATAAAGCAGGAAAGCAAGAAGCCACATCTGATTCATGTCAAATACCATGTCTTATCAGTGGTCCCTGTCTCCCTTCTTGTGTAATCCAGAGGAATATTTTTATCAACTAGTTTGTAACTATACTTTATTTTATTTTATTTATTTGTTTGTTTGTTCATTTTGAGACGGAGTTTCGCTCTTGTTACCCAGGATGGAGTGCAATGGCGCGATCTCGGCTCACCGCAACCTCCGCCTCCTGGGTTCAGGCAATTCTCCTGCCTCAGCCTCCTGAGTAACTGGGATTACAGGCACGCGCCACCATGCCCAGCTAATTTTTTGTATTTTTAGTAGTGACGAGGTTTCACCATGTTGACCAGGATGGTCTCGATCTCTTGACCTCTGATCCATCCGCCTCGGCTTCCCTAAGTGCTGGGATTACAGGCGTGAGCCACCGTGCCTGGCCTTATACTTTTTTTAGTAGCTCTAGGAAACATTTAAAAGGAGGAAATACCACTTCATTCCGCTTTTTAATTTTTTTTAAATTAAATTAAAAATTTTTTAATTAAATAAGATTTTTTAAAATTTTAAATTAAAAATTTTTTTTAATTTAATAATTTTTAACCTGCTTGGCAATTTCTAGAGTGGTAGTTCTCATATGTTTTCATCTCAGGATCTCTTTATAATCTAAAAAACAAAGAACTCAAAGAATATTTATTTATATAGACTATATTAAAATTTGTATTCATTTTAAAATAGTAAGTACTTGCATATAAACATAAACAATAATATTTTATTAAAACTATTGTTTAAAAAAAATCAGTGAAAAGAATGACATTGTTTTAAATTTACACAGCTCTGTATTAACTTGCTCATGTCTGCTTCTGCATTATATTACATGTAGTCCAGTATAGCATAAGAGCACATTATAACTACTCAAAACAACCTGAATCGATCTCTTAAAAAGCAAATATTTACACCCTAAACCTAGTAGCTTAGGGAATTATAGAAAACACAAAAATATGCTATCACACATTCTATTAATCATTATATCAATAACAGGTTGTGTAGTTTCTGGAAAATACCACTGTGCATTCATGAGAGAATGTGGGTGAAAAAGGCATGTATTACCTCAATGTTACTATAAAAACACTTTGCCCTCCTGGAACCTTTAAAAGGATCCGATAGTGTTCTCTGAAACGTACTCTAAGGATCACTGTCCTAGAGTGCAATATAAGTTTTGTTTTAGAAACTGGAGTGCTTTTGTTTTTTAATCTTTAATTGTCCCATGCCAGTTAAATTCTTCCTCAGTTTTATATTAGGTTAGCAAAGAACTTTCTAACACATTAATAAGGTTTGTATGAAAGAAAGAAGATAAATCTGTTTAAATTGTAGGGTTGCTTGGGGAAATACTTGGAAAATATACATGTTGACCTTACAATAAGTTGGGCAAGATCAGTTTTGATTTGGAGCTCCATATCAAAAAGACTCATTCTAAGGGCTTGGTCCTTAAAGAGTCATCTTCTCTTTTACATTCCCATTTCAGCAGTGTATTTGGTAAATGTTTAAAGAAATAAGTATGTGTTGATGACTGTGGTTATCTGTTGTGGATGTATGTTAGAACCTGAAATACATTGTAAGAAGACAACACAGTTTGTAGGGACAAATTTCAGCCGCATATGTTGACTCCTTGTTGGTATAATTCAGTTGTTTTGTTAAAATATTAGGGAAAATTGATATATATTTAAAACGTATTTCCAGAATGGAAGAACAGCCTGTTTGCTCCTACTTGGAAAATATTCTTTCTAAAATGGATATATAAACTCCAGGAGCACATTGATGGTAAGATTGCTTTGTTAATGGGTTTGCTGCAAAATCCCAACTCCTCATCCATGGGATGCCTCTAAGACATCATGACTCTGGAGAAAGACTTTCCAATGGAGAAAGATTAACTCTCAACATAAACAATGCACTGCAGGTATTTATTACATATTTATTACAAAGCCAAAACTCAAAAATGTTTATAAAAAGCAAGGATTTAATGTCCTTTTAAGGATCATCATCTCACTTACATGAAGTGATCTCGGTGTTCATTATTACTATACTTGTATTGTATGCTAAGAGTTAACATGATACAATCCTAAATTATTTTTGCTAGTCATATTTTTCACTCATAAGTTTATGTATACTTCTGTGTTATATTTCTAAATGTTAAATAATTTTTAATATAATTCATTAGTTTATATAGTATATGTTTGATTTAAGTACTGTTTTGATTTATATGAAGAACTTATTTTATAGTTTCAGGGGTATAAAAAGAATGATTAGAGTGTTTGATTTTTTTTGTTTCTAATTTACTGTTCTTGGAAAACTAGCTACTTAAGCTGGAAGCTTTACTTTTAGACCACCGACATAAATTTTATACCGTTTATTTCAGATAAAAAATTAGATGTGATCTTTGGCATGTATGAAATCAGTTTACATTGGGGCCATTAATCTTACATTCTGTCACATTGTAACAGTAGGTAAGAAAGTGAACATCAGTACTGGCCTATTCCTTGTTAGGATTATTAATTTGGATTTAGTGTATGATGTAAAATGGGAGCATTCATCTCGTTTTCTCTCAATAAACCCAGAAAGTGTAAGGAAGTCTGTTTTGTTTGTTGTTTTTTTTTAGCTGATATAGATTCTTCTTTCCAAGCCCTTTCCTGACACATTTGAAGTGTGAAATGCTGAGGCTCCCCACTGAACCCAAAAAATTAATGGAAAATTAATGGAAGGGAAATAAGACCTGAAAAGGTAAAAGACTTAGAATTAGGTGATTCAAAATAGTAGTTATATTTCACAAGAGCAAAATTATACCTGTGGAATGGAATTCAGAACTCCATGAAAGAGAGCTGATGTCACACAGCCTGTGGCATGAATGTCAGAGTTGGCCCATTCTACCAACTCTGGCTAAGCCTGAGCTTCCAAAAGTGATCTGAGCTGTTCCACCTTGGTGCTTAATTACTCCAGGCAGAAATAATTATGTCCCTCTTTCTCAGATTACAGGCTTGAGAAGTTCTGAATATCCCATACCCTAAAGTGTTTTTTTCTTAATTTTATTGTTACAATTGGCCTTCATCTAGCTCCAGATGGTTAAACTGAAGTAAGTATGCTTACCTACCAGATTGGTTATTCTTTCCTGGCTCACTATTCCCTAATTCAGAGTGTTAGATTAAGCAAATTACTTATTCCAAACAAATTGGGTTTCCTGGGAGAATTTGGTATATACAAGGAAAAATGGCAGAGGCAGGCCTATGGTCTACTAGGAAGACAGAATGAGGGACATGGGGCACCTGGATAAGCTGGCTCCTGGTCTCTGAGCCCTAGCAAGGGTTTAGCTGGAAGCATCAATAATATCCTTAAACCCTGAGATTACCCAGTTGTCAGTAGGAAAACTTAAAACTGTTTTTCCCAAAATACTAATCACTTACAAAATAGATTTACATATTCTCAGTATTGTTGGACAAAATTTTTAAACTATCTTAGTTTCATAAAATAATTTTAAACCTAATGTACAGTGAGGGGTGATTTCTGACTATCTGAGTGAACATATTTCAGGGGTCCAGGTGGTGGGGAGTAAAGCCATCAGCTCCAGGGTAGGCCTGTGGTCATTTCCAGCTGCACATCACACCTGTGAGAGGGAAAGAGTCTTCCCACTGTCTGTCATTCTGACTTCCTTCCCTTTGGAGTTTGCATTTAAGTCCTTTTTTTTTTTCTTTTGAGACAGAGTCTTGCTCTGTTACCCTGGCTAGAGTGCAGTGGCATGATCTTGACTCACTGCAACCACTGCCTCCTGGATTCAAGCCATTCTCCTGCCTCAGCCTCCTGAGTGGGTGGGACTACAAGCACATGCCACCACACCTGGCTAATTTTTTTATATTTTTAGTAGAGACGGGGTTTCACCTTGTTAATCAGAATGGTCTCAATCTCCTGACCTCATGATCCACCTGCCTTGGCCTCCCAAAGTGCTGGAATTACAGGCATGAGCCACTGTGGCTGACCTCAAATCCATTTTTATCTATAAATAAACCCTTTTGTCTACCTGGGCCAGCTTAGGAACCTAAGCCTGTCTGGAAAGATTTGCTTGCAGTTTGCATGCATAAGGATCTGTGTTTGGGGTTCACTCCTCCTCTACTAGAGGAAGTATACTTAGGTTGCTTAGTGGCTGTGTGGGGAGGGAGGCCACATTCTGCTTTCCTGCACTTTCTCCATAGGCGTGGCAAAGATGTTTGATCTCAGAACGAAGATCATGATCAGCATTGGGATCAGCTTACTGGTTGCCGCGATTGTGCTCTTATGTGTTGTGCTCTGTCTTTACTTCAAAATAGCCAAGGCACTAAAGTGAGTCACATGGAGGAAAGTGAATCATACCTCCTTAAATGGGATATGTGGACTCCCTATTTGAGCAAGGTCATTCCTTGCTGCTATGCCATACCCCTGGGTGAGGTCAAGAAGAACAAGCAGCTTTAAAAAGGCAGAAATGGCAGCTGAGTGTAAAATATTTTCCCTTCTACCTTGGGTTTGTAGAATGCTCTCAGCTTAGGTCTGTGAGTGTCAGTGCTGCTTGGCTGTCACTGGACCTCACTGAGTTTACCAGTAGGTGTTTAATTCAGCACTTTGGCCAAGCCTCCCTTTGCTCAGCACCTTGGCTAGTGCCTCCCTCTGTTCAGCACCTTGGCCAGTACCTCCTGGGCACTGTAGGCTGAACTCTGTAGGGGAGGCTGCGTGAGTGAGCCTCTGCCTTGTGCTCATGCGGAGGGAGGACAGGTCGAATTGATCTCCTCTTGCCTGAGTTGGGAGCTCTCACAGTGTTCCTTCATTCATTGCTGGTAGCCTTGAGGACAAGGAGGTGGACTTTTAGGACTCTAGGACAGCTGACCTGTGTAAATATCCTGGGAGACAGCAGACAAGGGAATGTAGGTTGAGCAAAAGACAATTAGTTTGGGGAGAAGACCCTTCAGGTACCAGAGAGATTGGTTGTCAGATACAGTTGTGTCTCCATTCCGGGGAGTTCACAATGACACATCCCAGAGCCTGGGGCACAGCTGAACTCAGCACCTTCCTATCATTTGACTGCATCACGGGGGCCTGCAGTAACCATCTGGGTTACCTTGCTTGCAATTCACTTACCCTTACTTTTGTAACCTGAGTTTACATTTATAGCAATTGTAGGAAATGAAGGAATTCAAGAGGAAGTTGGGACGGGAGCAAGCTTTAATGTAAGGCTGGTGTTCATGTTTGATTGGCTTCAGCACTAAATTTCCCAGATACTCCCAACAGTTCTAACAAAAGGACTGAGAAGAAAAATTCTAAGCCCGTGCTTTGTGTGTGTCTTTTCTCAAGAGCTGCAAAGGAATCTGGTCACAACTCAGACAAGGTGTTGTACACCAAGAACAGCCAGGCCGAAACCATTGCTACGGAGTCTTATCCTGCCCTACAGTGCCGTGAAGGATGTAGAATGTATGCCGATTTCGACTCCCTGCCACCTTGCTGTTGTGATGTACATGAGGGTCTCTGACTTGGGAAAGGTGGGCACAAAAATCTTCATGAGCAATATTTCTTTCTTAGTAGAACGTTTTATTATGCAAATCAAGTTCTAGAGTGTTAACATGCTATTATATAATGTACAGGGTTATTTTCTGTACTTCTGAATAAATGTGCAATATTGGAAATAATCCTCTTCCTCCAGTATTTTTGTTAGTTATAAACATCACTTATTTAAATATGTGTCTTATCCACTTTGGGATTTGGCGTCACTAGCTGGTAATATTACACTGCAGTAAAATAAAGTTAGAAAATAAAAATGTCCAGCACATCTCCCACCCTACAAGGAAAATGTGCATTGATATTAGGGCATTTCCAGTGTCAGCCTCAGCTGATGTCACCCAGCTGAAGTAGCTATGAGGGCTTAGGTCGCCGGCACCCAGCTCCTCCACCGCAGACAATGGTCCATTCATCTAAGACAGTGAGAGGAGCCAGGGCGGATGTCTCTTGCATTAAAATCATCTGATCTGTGTAAAAGTAGGCCTGAGCTCAGTGGCCTCAAAGGCACATTTGGAAAACCAGATTCCTCTTGCCGCCATCCCCAGATCATCAGAGCAGGTGCCTCCTTTGTGGATACAGTAACACTGATGTGTGTTGATCCAGTCTCAACATCTTCAACTATAACAGCCACTTGAGGCCAAAGACCAAAACCCAGACTTTCTGGACCACAGTGAGAAAGAAAAGGAACGGTTTATCTGAGGATAACAGGTAAGCATGATGAGGAATGTGAGCCTTTTTAATTATCAGGCCCAGAGAGGCACTGAAATGAAACGGCAGTCATGTCTCACCGCCTCACCCCATCTTGAGCTAAATAATTACCTCATGAAGACACTTGCTATGTCGGCTTGCAACTGATGCCAAGAAGCCATAAAAAGCCATACGCTGGACATGAGAACTCATGTCTCATAATCCAACACTGTAGAGCCAATTGCTAACCAATGTTATCGCTGTAAACCAGTGAGAATTCCTGTTAAACAGCTCTGTATTAGTTACTCCTGATCCCCTTTCCCTTTTTTCTTTTTCTTTTTTTTTTTTTTTTGAGACAGAGTAAGACTCTGTCTCCCAGGCTAGGCTGTAGTGGTACAATCTTGAGTTACTGCAAGCTCCACCTCCTGGGTTCAAGCTATTCTCCCATCTCAGCCTCCTGAACAGCCGGGATTATAGACATGTGCCACCATGCCCAGCTAATTTTTGTATATTTAGAAGAGACAGGGTTTCACCATGTTGGCCAGGCTGGTCTCAAACTCCTGACCTCAAATGATCCACCCACCTTGGCTTCCCAAAGTGTTGGGATTACAGACATGAGCCACCGCACCTGGCCCCTTTTGCCATTAAAAACCTACTAGTTACAGGCCGAGCAAAGCACTTCCCAAGGCAACCTGGAAGCGTGTCCTGGCTGCAGTTCTCATCCTTGGCCCAAATAACCTCTCTATGTTAGTTTTCCTTCGGTTTCTTTTTCTAGGCCAAGGATAGCAACAGGCAGCAGGAAGCCTCCCTTGCCTCTTCTGCTCCCAGCTGCCTTCTGTTCTGGCTCCTTCCCCTGAGCCTCCTGGAAACTCTTTCAAGCACGAGAAAGGTGTAACCACCACGTGCACTCATGAACTAAATGGTTGCTTGTGAACACCACATGTAGACAATATAAAGAATTATTCCAGCCTGGGTAACATAGAGAGGCCCTGTCTCTACAAAAAATAAAAACTAAAAAACTCTTAGCTGGTTGTGGTGATGCATACTTGTAGTCCAGCTTCTCAGGGCTGAGGTGGATCACTTGAGCCCCAGGGTTGAGGCTTTAGTGAGCTGTGGTCACACCATTGCACTCCAGTCTGGGTAACAGAGGAAGACCCTGTCTCTAAAAAAAAAAGTAATAAGAATTATATTAACTAGTAACAGTTGGTTACCTATTAAAGGAGTAAACAGGAAAACAGGAATAGCAAATGAAAGAAACACCTGTGGCATCCAGGAGATGGGGTGGTGAACAAGGATAGAACTAAGCATCTGGGGGGGCCACCTGCTGGCTGAGCTCCAGGGCTCTGGGCAGTGTGTGGCAGTCTCGGGGATCTTCAGGACCTTAATGCCGGGGAAACAGGCCAGAGGAGGCCAGGCCCAGCAGCTCTGGAGAAGCCACCCACCCTTGGAGCCAAGCAACTCCCTGGAGACAGCCCTGAGACCCCCCCCCTTCCTGGAAGTGACCTCTTACCCTCGAGTTTCTGGGCACTGTCTCCATCCTTTGACACTGATATACTCTTGTCACCAGCAAGCTCTGAGCAGAAAGAGTGCCCACGAATCCCCTCTTACCCCACCCAGTGGGGGATCCAGGCACATGGGCAACTATGCCTGGTGCAGGCATTGCAGGGGACCCATGAGGGAGGTCTGTGGGACAAGGGTCTTCAGTATGCCCCCATTAGTAGGAGGGCAGAGTACCACACGTGGACTTCAGAGCCCTACAGGCTCAGTTCCCATCCTGATTTGACCTTCACCAGGGGAAGTCCTTTGACCCACCTGAGCCTCCATGTCCTTGATGTGAAGTGGGGACTTGCACAGGTGACAGGGAAGAAACAGTGAGATGAGGCCTGGCGACCCCACAGCACCCCATGATCCCCAGGAAGTTGCCAAGGGCCTAAAGGTGGCTTCCCTCCTAACTGGACCCAGAAGCCTGGGTCCTTTACCAGGACCCCCCAACTCCACCCCACCCCAAAGAATATGGCCATGAAACTCACACTCAGTGCAGATGGATCAGGGACATTGGAGATCCTGGTCATGGGAGACGTAGAGGGGTTCAGAGGGAGAGCCCAAGGTGGGGGTGGTTATTTGTGGACACGGCTGTGAGTAAGCAGCACTTAACAATCAGAAGAGTCCCCTCTCAAATGCCTGTACCCTGCTCACTCACCCTAGGACACCCAGTCCTACTTCATCGACAGCCAGCCTAAGCAGACAGGAACTGAGCAGAGCTGGGCAGGGGTCTTGGAGAGTGTCCAAGCTCCTCCTGAGCACCACATCCCAGCATCTCAGGTGCTGCCTTTCCCCTGCAGCATCAGGTGTGGGTCCAACAAGGAATGGATCCTCTGGGTCACAGCATAGGACTGTGTTCTCCCCAGGGAGGCGTCCTGGTCTGGGCCGCAGCACAGTCGGAACAATACAGAGGAGGTGGCAGTAGCCAGGGGGTATCCCCGCAGGAGACGCAGCCTACACCAACGTCAAACCTCCACAGAACTGCACAAAGATTCTTCAAAAAGTAGCCAATCCTGGCATTGTCCCCTCGAAATGTTCCACCTGACCTTAGAGTGAAATCCAGACAACTCATTGGCCCTACAGGTCCTTCCCCATCTGACCTTCACCTGCTCCTCTCCTCCCCTCTCAACTCACTCTTCCCACTCACATGCAACCAGGCTGTTCTTTCTTCCCTAATACTGTAGGTGTGCCAGGCACTCCCTGCCTCAGGGCCTTTGCACTTGCCCTCTCTTTTGACTAAAATGCAAACCCTGAGCTCGGATCACACATGAATCCCTCCCTCTTACCTTTCTTTGCTCAGATTGCATCTCTCAAGACTTACTCCCTATCTCCCACCCTCTTATTTCCTCCCTTCCCCAAGGCAGCCACTGTCTATTAAAAGAACAGGTCACCCTGTTTTGTTGTAGTCAGAGCTCCTCTCACTATTTGAATTCTTAATTTATTTTTGTTTTTTAACTCCATTTAGAATACAAGACTATGTCTCTCATGTTCAATTCTGTATTGCTCAGGACCCAGAACATTACACAATATTTGCTAAATAAATGAAAATGAAAAGAGAGCAGCAGCCCCACCCTCCCCGATACACACACATTTGCCCTTCCTAGTCTCATCATGGACACCAGGATTTCCTGCTCTTGGCCATAAAACACAGTGCCCAAGGGACCAAGCTAACTGCTCCAGCCTCTCCAGATATAACCTATTAGAAATCTGTGCAGGGGAACAAGGATCTGCACTCCCTTTTCCTCCCCATGCTCTGCCCCCTCTCCCCACCCCTTAGTCATCTGGCAGAGCATCTGAGTGACTGTAAGGTAAACACACCTGACAGTATCTGCGATAACCCCGTGTGGCAGATGCACCTGAATGTGTGTTTAGAGGTAGTGAATCCAGGAGTGGTTAGCCCTGAAATTCATTTCTTGTCTGTGAGGAACATCTGAGTCCTGATCCCATCCTGTAGAATGTAGGCCAAACAGGAGACCAAGGCCATTTTGGGTTAAGTGAAGGTTGCCAGGTGGAGACTGTTATGGGGAGGGTGCTAAGTGAAATTGCCACATAAACTGTATGTTCTTTGCCAGCAGTTGTGACTTTCCTTCCCAGCCCATCTCCACTGGGCCATGCAATTATTCTGTCCTGCCCACGCTGAACTCTGTCCCCTGTATGTAGTCCGTAATAAAATCCCATGTCTCATTTTCTGGCTCTGAGTCTCTTCTTTGGCCTCTTGAGCCTGATGTTATCTCCATTGGAGTTGACAGGCATTCGGCAGGACAGTGACCAAGCTGGACCCAGAGTTTGCCCAGGTGCCACATCCCCGCCTTGCCCTACTGATCCTCTGGCCTCCCACAGGCCCCCCCTTTCCAGACCAGAGCCCCAAAGGCCTCAGATGTCACTGAGGCCTCAAGTGTCAAAGGCCTCAAATGCCAGTTCGTGATTTGCAAAAACAGCACAAAGGTCCAGCTCCCTGTCATTTCCACAGCAATTTTCTCATTGCCTGCTGGGTGCCAGCTGCTGGAGATCCCCACAAAGAGCTGCCACTGGGGGCAACCCTTCTAGGAAGGAGCTGAGGAAAGGGAATTCTCACTGTGGGGACTGCTAAGAAAGTCATGGAGCTGCTCTATTCTCACACAAATCTACCCCTTGTGTGGCTGGAACTGACATTTCCCTGGAGGTGTCCAGACAGCTGATGAAACACAGAGCCTATAAAAGCTGCCAGTCCTTAAGGCTGCCAGCTCCTGGCCAAGATGGAGTTTGTAAGGAGGCTCAAGCCTTTGGCCCTTTTAATTGTCTCCTGATTGGCAGAGTTGATGTTGATGGAGGCTGAAGGTAAAATATATATTTTTAAGTCAAAATACTGCCCTTTAAAAGGTGCTTGCTAGAGATTTTAGAACTTTTTGAGTGCTCTGCTGGC